TTATATTAAAGAATTATCCTCAGTAATCAGAGAAACAGAAGATTATTAAAAGAGTTAACATTTTCTTATAATTAAAATTTTGATTAAGATTACATAGGGACAGTCCATAAATTACATAATGCAAATTTACAATATTTTGAATACTCTCACTCCCTGCATAACCCAACTGAAATGTGGGCTTGCCCACCCCTCCTCCATTATTACACAATGCTTGAGACAAGATCTCCTACCCTAATTTACTAGTAAAAATAACTTATAAAGTAGAAACGAGATGTATTAATTTCATTTGTGTTGTATATTAAAATTTATGATAATTGAATTCAGAATTATTAGACAGTGTAGGTTGCACCTAATAATAAGATTGGGGACAACTTGTGAAGGAAAGAACTTGGACAACAAAATTTCTGAAAATACGCTATGCACACACCGCCTTAGTGGATGATCCGTGAGTAATAAAATGACTAGAAAAAATCTCAAGCAGTTAGCAAATAAACTATTTTGATGTCTCTTTAATAAAGCACACTCTCATTGTCCTATAAGAAAAGACCCCCCCCCCCATGTGCACACACACACACATAAAAAAATACTGTGATTTAACAAAAGATATATTTGTGATGGTTCTCAGAAATTATAGGAACACACAGGCGGCGGCGATGGTGTAACGGTTAGACAGTGTAGTACAGTGTAATACAGTAGTGCAGTGTAGGCGATGGTGTAACGGTTAGCGTACTGGACTGTTGTACCCGTAAGTTGGCGGGTTCAAGCCCAATCGAAGCCGTGGATTTTAAGGGCCAAAAAATCCTTCGTACGCCTTGCTTCGGAGGGGAAGTAAAGCCGGCTGTCGGCCGGTGTAGATTTACTTGCATGTAAGAGATCCTCAAGCCTAAATGACGCCTCTGAGCTAAATTCAAATCGCCTGTTTCTCCTCCTTTCCTTACCTCCTTTCTCTCCTAGTTGGTGAAAGGAGCGTAGCGAAATTTGCGTGGTCAGACGGAAGCGCGGGCCTGATGGGCCGAGTCTCGCCACTTAAAATAAGGCAAATCCAATTCAATTCAATTCACACATTGGAGAAGAAAACATAAGAAGTTCAATTACAACAGTGAATAACTTTAAAGGGTAAAAAGAAAGGCTGCAGCAGTAGTGATATGCCAAAGTTACAGTACTTCTCAAAAAAGAGGGTTGTCTTGATTTTAATTCCCAGGACAGACATACCTATATAACAAAAATATTGAAATGAAAAATGTAAAGATTAGTAAGTGTTCACAGATACAATAACACTGAAATAATATGTAATACATTGAAATTAAAAATACAATCTAATAGTAGATATTCCTGATTCACAGTGGCAATGGGTTACTTTTAAAACTGGGTGAAGGTAAGTAAAATGATTAAAACATTAAATACAAATTATGACAATACAGATCATAAATCTAGGTTCAATACATGTATTTTGAATAATTTATAATGATCATTTCATCTTAATATTTAATCGAATTAATAGAATGCCCAATGCTGGGATTTATTCAGAATTTTTAATGTTTTATTCAATCAGTTAAGAGCATTTAACTTTCATCTGTCAAATCAATTCCATAAGTTACAATAATTTTTCTAGACTAGAAGTTTCACTTCTCATTAAATAATGTTTGAATGTTGAAAGATATATCAGTAATTCAGCAGTTAAAAGTTAGAAAAAGGTGGACACTTATCACTAGTAGTGTAACAAAATGAGTACGTGCCTACCTGCAAAACTTTTATCTGGGCTCCTTTTATAAAAGACTAGAACAAACACAAGTAAAGTTAGTACCTTAAATAATAAAACTATCTGCTAAAAATAGGCTCTCTTTTACCTGGGCTCGCTCTCATTGTGGGCCTTGCAGGCTCAAAAGTAACACCACTGCTTATCACTTTACACTGTTGAGGGAATTTTTGTAATGAGGAAATCCACTGCATTAGCTTCAGAGAGGGACCATGAGTCCACTTGAAAATGTACAAGATTAAAAAATATTTTAAAGTAATAATAATAAACCCCTTCTTTGAAAATGGCTTTTAATAATATTTTATTTGAAAGTGGTTTCATAAATTAAAATATACAAATTGAAAGTAATGTTTAAGTAACTTAATGCAATATTAATTAGTTTAATTGTTGATATGTTTAAATACATTATTACTATAAATCCAATTTATAAGGTGGTTTCTTTCATTTTGAAAAAAAAAAAAAGATTAAGTTTTCTCATATTTCTTTATAATAAATATTATCCCCATTTAGTTTGCCCATCGTAATATTACTTTCTCGCCCTTACGTACGCAAGAAGAGATATTGTAATCGTGCGCAGGAAAACGCCGAATTTTCGACACAAAATCTCTTAATACCGGGCCCTATTACCGAAAAATGTTGATATATCCTGTTGATGTGTATAGTAAATTACTTCCTCTAAAAGGTTGTGTAGTCAGAATCCATTCTTTATGGGACCTTCCGACCGATTGACGGTAAAACGTCAGTCTGCCCATCCGACCTTGGTCAACGCTGGCGCTTAAAACTGTTCAGCTGATTTTATTCAAAATTGATATCCCTCGATCGGTTTAAATGAACTCGAGGCCCTCTGAGTTTGAAACAGGTTCTTGTTTACAGTAGTCTAGCACGTGTAAATGTAAGTGTATAGTGCAGTGGCGGATCCAGGGGGGCATGGGGCCCATGCCTGCCCCTCCCCCCCCAAAAAAAGGCCAAGAGTTTTCGTTTGTTACCTTTTTAAATTTGCAAAATTTATTTAAATACTTATTTATGTTAGAATTGTGTAATTATTTATAAAACAATATTGTATAGTATCTCAAATGCACTACAACAATGTACAATATAACAAATGTTTAGTATTTTTAAGAAATCTATGATGCCCCCCTCCAAAATGATCGACTGGATCCGCCCCTGGTGTAGTGGGCTGTATTACTCGAGCAACTTTTCTTGAACGATGACCTTGCACCTCTTTTGCACAGTTAACAGTTGAAGGAAAAAATTCCCAGCGAGCACTGATGACAACGTTCCAAACACATCTTCACTGACGCGAAATAGCAACAATTTTCTTTTGACGGTGAGAACTTCAATCCGTTATTTTCTCCAAAAACAACTAAATAAATGACCGAAGCAGGTAAAGTTCTATCACAAGAGATACCTCGAACACCTGAGAAAGTTGGAAACGCTGCGAAGGTATGATTGATTGTCCAGAGATTGGCATTGCTTCATAAAATCTAGTGACCAATTTTCTAACTAATACCCCCACTCTACCCGCATTTCTTCAATCTATCGTTCAAAAAGCCTTGCGCGAGTAATAGTTTGGCGCGTAAGAGAGGAATGTAGTGGGAAAGAACGGAGAAAGGATTGCACGCTATCTGTGGCCCATTTCTTAGGGTTTTACTTCTGCTTTCGCTAGGTATTTGTAGGAGAAACCATCGAGAAGTAGTCATCGGAGCAGTCGGCCGCTAGTTTTCCTCCAGGCAGTGACTGAATTCGATCTAACTATACAGTTAGTGTCGAAAATAGCGAGTTTGTGCTCGAAATAACGGACAGCACTATCGATCTTCTGCGAATGCGCAGATGCACGAAAGTGATATGAAACGTGAACTGCGCATGCGCAGAAGATCGATAGTGCTTTAACATTCGAGGTTGCACAAACTCTTTTAAGTCACGCTCGAGATTCGAACAATTCTCTATCAGTTAAGATACAGAGTACTAGATTTCCTCTAAGCTACCTCGAACGATCATGTTTTTGTTAAAGGTGTCTGGAAAATTCTTCGAATCTCGTACAATTCATTTACAATTTTAAGAATAGAAATTTGCATGCTTTATGAACTGACTGAGTTAAAAACTTTAGGACGGTAATAAACTATAACGTTTTAAATTATGAGTCCGAAGTTAATTCAAGTGGTTCTTTTTTACCTAAAACAATAATCAATCTGAAGGAAGAAATGTCATTTTATATAACCCTACCAACGCTATGAATTTACTCCTGTATTTTTTTCAGCAACACAATTTAATGTGATCAATTATGCGTTGACACTGCTGCAGACATTGGTTGTTCCAAAAAGCGAACCCACAAAAAACATTCGTCGCATATTTCGTACAGAGCGTCCACAGATGGATGTAACAAGTCTGGCAATGAAAGCTCAGTTTTCTAGCAGAATTAGTGAAAAATGGAATTAGTAGTCCCCTACTGAAAGAACGGAGGGGACTACATGTTCGGAGGTGGCGATGTGGTGACAAAAGTTCCGAAAATCCTGACAATTTCCTTACTGAAAACATTTACACAATGAAAGCTGTTTGGAGAGATAATCGAATGGTCAAGTAAATAATTGCGTCGCAATGATGTACTAGTCATGATAATAGAACTAAAATATTTACAACGGCTTACAGTTGTAGAGATCAAAAGATCTTCATGAGAACTCTGCAGTGTGAATTTTCACAAACCAACACATACAATCAACATTACAAATCCAGCATTTTCAGTTGGTGGAAGCTCCTGTGGTCGAAGTGACTATCTTCGCCCAAATGTGCTCTGCGAAGGGCGCAGTAGACGTCGCTCAGGAGGAAGTGGCGCTCTTTCCGAAGGGTGAAGATTATTTTTATATCAATTTTATTGTATACGGGTATCTAACAAAACCATAGATATCTCTTAAAAGGCCGGAACCTGCATATGTCGTTCTGCGCGCTTTTAAAATGCGTGTTTTTGTATTTTCCTGAAATCCTGAGTATCTAACGAAACCATAGTAGACATATTACACATAGCCGGAGGCTGCATAATTTTCTTTCAATTTCTGCGCGTTTTGAAAATTAGTATAAATATAATTTCTGAAGATGAATGTAAAGCTGTCTGAAAATCGATTCGAAAACCAACGAAAACGTTCTGTGTTTGTCTCGAGGTCTCCGACCGAATTTAGTTGTGATTAATTCGTACTCTGTCCCGCGTTTCGGACTATTACAGTTACGGTACTCGCAAAGTTGCACCTCCATTCAGTGATAATTCTCTTCGCCTGCATGTATTATTATACAATGCGTACTGCGGTGTACTGCGCCTGTACTGCGCGCGTTTCTGAAGAGCACTTCGGCAAAACTCGGCCTTCTCTCTCGGTAAATTTCGCTTCCCCTTGGTGCCACCTGGTAATATACTCCCTTGGTAATATACTCTCTGGGTGCCACACTGAACTCTTGATCGGATCTGACAGCTCACGCACGATAGCTCACGAGACCGAAGGTGGCTGTGGAGGCGATGCGCTTGTGACTGTGACCGCCCTAGTCTTCTGTGACTGCTGTGCGTTTATTGCAGGTTTGGTCATGTAGCCGGAGAAGAAGAATATGAGAAGTTAATTTTTGAAAGAGCCATCGCTTGTTTGTTTCCGTCACATTCCTGTGTGAAAATGCTCGTGAAATGCGGTGTGTTCAGAGTGTCAAGCATTTTCAGGTGTATATTTTTTACCTTTAAACTGTCGTTGCAAATATCGGTTTTCATTTTCCGTATTGTATAGTGTGATTTTGTGTGATTAATAGGTTCAGCATTTCTGAGTGATACCTGGAATCGGTTAAGCTCGAAATAGTTGGGGAAATAGTTAAATCTTAATCATGTTCGAGTGGGCGTACAGCGGAGTTAATTCTTCAGTGCCGGGGAACGGTGGTCCAGAATGTGCGGCGTACGTTTCATCGACGAGGAAGTTAATAGAAACTGTTATAACGCTCTGTTTATCTTGTGTTCTCGTGACATGGGGATACCGTCGTCTTTCAGAGCCAGAAATCAAAGCGTATGTCAGAAGGGACAGAGGAGGCAAAAGGTTACTTCTCATTCTCATGTCATTAATTTGGGGAATGGAAATAGGATTTAAATTGGCTTCGCAAACTGTGATATATCTCCTGAATCCTTGTCATGTAACAACAGCAATTCAGGTATGTGTAGTCTTAGTCATATTTTCTATATTACACAAATATTCTGTGGTTAAAGTGAAACCTGTTTTTAATAAATTACTGTTGAGTGTAGTTTGGTGAAAAATATATGGTTCATACTGATATTTTAAGATGTTTTGATAAATAACTAAAATGTTTGATAACTTATACTATTTAGAGGGGAAATGAAATTAAAGTATTTTTGCTTTTGTATGATGTATAATTTTACAAGAATGCAATGTTCACATGAAAAATTGCATAGACATTCCAGTCTGGTAAGTTTATATCAAGAACTTAATAAGCTTATGTTTTTCAGATCTATCTGTTAGCAGCTCCACCAAGTAAGCAAGTATCGTATGTATTCAGAATTCATCTGAATTTTTTAAATGGAGCAGTGTTGGCGTTTTTATTTCCTGTAACCGATTCAAGGATTGTAAGTATAATATAATGTGAACTGTGTTATAAAAACATAATATTCATATACATATTGAATGAATGTGAGTATGCTATTCATATATTATTTTGTTTTGAAAGTTATTATTTCCAGTACTTTTTATTTTAAGTACATTTTCTGTTACTAGCAGACTTTTTTCTTTTGTTGCTCGAACTTCGTAGCAGTCTTCATCTATTGAGTATGTAACTCAATGACTGGGCAAGTGCAGCATTTAAATAGTTGCTCAGCTTCGTTCTTTGGTAGGTGCAGTATATATGAAAATTTACCCATGACCTTTGAGTGATTTTAATTGAATGCTTTATTATTAATGAAATCAGCCCTGCCTGTTTGTTTGTTTTGAAATGCTTGGGAAGGTGATGGGTCCCCCTTGTGAATCCTTGTGCCAAATGTTTGTTATATGCTGCCATACCTAGGACCTAACGAACTGAATTCCTTCTTAATCTTACTAGTTGAATGTGGAAATGTGCTTTTAATCTTCTGTGTATTGAACATTTAATCTCAAAAATTCGCATGTGTATTTTTTTGATTTCTGTAATTTTTTGATTTACATACTTGTTTTGACATTCTTTTAAGGGCAGTTAGAATTTTCAGCTGTAACTGAAATTTAATTTTTCTGGAGCATCATAGATTTAATTTGCATCAAAAATCAGATTTAGAATAATAACTATAAGTATTAGGTAAGCATTCCCATTGAAAGATAAGCACTTGTTGTACAGCATTGAAGGAATATTCTCTACTTTTAAAAATAAATTCTACCTTTAAAAATTTTTGGAGGAATGAATGGAGCCTACAACATTTTAAAATACCTTTTCATTTATATTTCTATTAAAGCGCCTTTGTTTATTATTGTAATTACTATTTTATTCTTTTTCCTCTAGATTAGCTAAGCATTTGCACAGTATACAAAGTGTATTCCCTTATAGCAAAGGTCACACTTTTTATTTCAGAATTTACTCAAGAAACTCGTAGGTTTCATAGTATTGGCTAATTTCGTTGTATTTCTTATAATTTCATGTTGAAAAAAAATATTTTCCCTGTCAGTTACAACATTTCATAGCCATTGTGATTAATATGCAACATATTTTTTGTTGGTTTGTATTATGTTTTGTCACTTAAATTTTACATTTTTTCTTAGTTTTATAAGCATTTTTGATATGCATAATTGTGTTGATTGGTACTATTTGATCTTGCACGGGTCATATGATTACTATCTCATTAGAACCGCCGTTGTCACTTGGCTGTCGTGTATAAGTCATAAGTAGGTATGTGCGTGCTTTCAATTTTGGTTAACATCACACCCAACAAAGATGTAAAGAATAGAAACTGAAAATGTTGCCTTAAAACAGTTTGTTTTTGATGGTATTCATGGAATGAAACATAGAAATGTAAACAAAATCATGTTCCTAGCAACTAAGGCAACTAAGTATAGATTGTGAGAGCAAAAAGATAGTACTGTTTGACTATTTAAATAATATTGTACTGAAAGAACACTTCTGACCTCCAACAGTTTTGTTTTGTAACATAAAAAATTACAAGAATTGCAGACCAAGGAACTAAAATTGTGAATTACAGTTATTAGTTTACCTTAGTAAGAAGAAGAATTAGGTAAGTTTCTAAAATATAGAGCTTACCAAGACATGTTATTTAAACTATCGAGTTTGAGTCATTATGAGGAATTGAAATATTCTTAGTTTGTGTATTTTGTAAAGTAAATATCTTGTATCAACTTCATTCACTGAATTTGTGGATAATAATTCACATTTGCCGAAAATCATTTTGGTGAAAGGCATTTCCTGATGTAATATGAATGTAATAAGTGTATAATAGGAGACAGGAAAACCATAAACATGATTGATGTGACCAATAGGTCTAAGTATTGCCTAATTTTTAATATCCTGAAAAGTTGTGAATTATTCACAATCTCATTAACATGATCTAACATCAAATAGGTGTTTTCTATGATTAAATAGAATACACCAGACCGTTGTGGAATTAGCTTTATTTGTAGGTTTTTATTCTTTTAACAATTTTTTGTAAGGCTATATTTTATATGTTGCCAAAATATTAAAGAGTGTGCAATTTTTAGACATCAGCTCTTGCTCATTAAAAACTGACTTGTCACTTATTTTTATGTTGTTTTTCAATTGATTTATTGCATAGAAATAACTCACCAATTCTAAAAAGATTTGATGCTTCACATAAACAAGGAGTACAAATTAAAGGTGTATTTTGTCAAGGAGGTGAATTTGCTACAATAAGGGATTTGTCTTGTCATGTCATGACATGGCATGGTATGGTTTTAAATTTTCTTTCAAGAGATAAGTACTCTTTCAGCTTTTCATAAGTTGACTCTTGCTTATCATCAGTTTTTTGGACATAGTTCATGTAGTGAGCTCCCTCAGGTTTCCATGAGATTTGTGTCAAGTGAATTTTGAGGCATTGGCAGAACTTACAGAAGAGGTTTCCAACCATAAATGCTAAAACATTTCTTGTTTTATATTACAGGACAGACTTGTTCACGGTCATGTATTTTCTTAACCATTTGGGTTAACGGTCAGTAATCTTAGTTAGCTGCTGACTTCTTAAGCCCTAATTATGCATCTCTTATTTACCTTTGGCTCTTGTCATCATTGCTCCAGAGAAAACGTAAAGGCACCCTGAGCCTATGTTAAACTTCACTGCCTGCACCATAACACTAAAAGTTGTTCACTTTTTAGCAAGCAGTTAACATACTACATCTTCCCAGGATGGTGTCAAACTAATTAGCTGTTCTCTACAATTTAAAAAATTGCTTCATCTGAGCACCTGAAAATTGCACCTCTAAATTAGTTAATGCAACAACGCTTTCTTGCTCCATTTCAGAATCTCAAAGCTTGTGCACTGTACCCTATGCCAGATGGTTCATCTCATTGATGGAAGTCAACCCTGAATTTGATTAGGAGTTTTTTTTAGTTTGCCTTGAGCTGTAGAGGAAATGCTGAAATGGTATTTTACCTTGCATCTAAACAATTGAAAATGACTTTTATCTCAGTGTCTAAAATGACAGTTACAAGGTTCTCAACATAAAGAAATAAAATAAAATAATAAAAAATTTGGGATGGGCGTATGGCCAGTGAACTCTTCAACCGATGTCCTCTGCACAACTTAGTACAATTAATGTCAACACTTCTAAATTTGAATGAGGGAAGTTTGAATTGACCAGTATTGATGTATTTTAGTACAGATGTGCTTCAGTAACTTCTCAGAATGTTAAACAGACTTTTTCTGCTGTAAAGTGCAAATATAAGATATTTTCTGTTGGAAAATAAATTATATTTGCGGCTGTAATATGTGTGATGTTTCTTCATTCAGTAAAGTATGCCATCTTTTGTGATCATTATGCATTGCATTTCTGTTGGAAAAGAAGATAATTGTAATCAGTTTGTTTGTAATAAAAAACTTAGCAAAATTTTCAACTAAAAAATGTCATTTGCATGCATTACATCATCAACTTTTGCTTCATCCTCGACCTCAGAATCTTCTTTCTCTTCATTATCCTTTTCTTATTCTTTTTCTTCATGGTCTTCATTTTGTTAAACGTCATGGTCTTCATCATTTTCGTTTATTATTATTATTATTATTATTATTATTATTATTATTATTATTATTATTATTACATGTACTGGAGAAAAAAATATTTTTTGGGGTATACATTTGGCCTTATTCTCTCAGAGTTTGTCGTAATTCCATGCATATTTTCAGTTATTATTACAAGAGTCACTCTTGCCTCCTGTGACAGCCTCCAAAAGAATTCAATCAAATATTATTGCATTTGGATTACCACTTCGAAACTCCTTTGACAGTTTAGGCTTGTTTCAGGAAATTGAGAAAGAAAAATGCTTTCTTTCTTCCATTTTGAATTGAACAACTACAACAAATTTATAAGCATGAAATGGCTGTAAAAATTGTCTGATATTTCTTAATATCTGAATATCAATGTCAGTGCAGAAATTGTTTGTCACAAAGGTCAAATCAAAGTTTGTAGATCAGAAAGGGTACTAGAAATAGGATTTTGTGACTCCATTTCATTAAGAAGTGCTTGTGAATTTAAAAGGTTAAAAAGTCATCTTTCTAATATTTTGGCAACTTACTGTAATTTCTGTTTATGTTCTTTGTACCATAACATAGGGTTTCTTTGGCAGTGCATGACCAAAACATTAACAGTACAATGTGACTAGTTAGTCTGGTTTGTGGTGTGTCTTGCTGAAAATGATATGAAGTTTTGATATATTTAAGACTAAAAAATTATTGTGACATCAATTAAATAATATTTATTTAATAACATTAATTATTTATAAATGTCAAGTTTAAATACTGATTCTTTTTGTTGTTCTTTGCTTATGGATCACTACAAAAGTTCTTGTTTAAATGATAAATCTGTTTAATGTTAGGGTAGTTTCTCTAATAACCAATTGTGAGTACTCTAACCTTTTGTTGGCAGTAAGTTTACTTCTGTGCCCAAAAAGTTTTTCTCTTCTCCAATATGCAAACCAATTCTATAAATAAACAGAAGCCTTGGATGGGTTCTGAATGTTCAGAGTAGTTGCTCGCTTGTGGAATATGTTTCAGGGGGTCAGAGTCATTGGCTATGGAAAACTATGCTATCTGAATTTGTTGTATCCAGTATAAACCTGAGGGAGATACTGAATACCTACGTTGCATGAATATTCGTGATGAATTCAAAGCTATCAGATTCAGGATAATGGATGTCTTCTGTAGTTTTTTGAAAGTTGTGTAACGATTCTCACTACTGCAAAAGAATCATTTATTTATTTAATAAAATCAAAAAGGCTTGTACAGTGCCCTCTAACTATTTTTGTTATGTGTATTATCAAAAATTTTAAAAATTAAAAGAATGCCAGGATTGAGTAAAAGATCATAAACTGTTAATTGTGTCTAAAATTTGCGTAAATTAATTTCTAGGTCTTTAGGCAAAATATTTTTAATCAATTTAAAAATTGAAACAAAGAAAATATTATTTTACTTTACAATTTTGATTTTCAAAACAGAAGAAGTGAATGCAAACAAAAGGTACTGGCTGTATAGTGCCCACAATCGGTTCATTTGAATTTTTGTAAACTTACTTTAAAATTTTCAGTGTACAATTTACTATAAATTATTTAACTTGTTTTAGTTTTTAATAGCATTAATTTTAAATGTTATATATTTCAGCTTCCATTTGAAACTTCAATATACTGGATTCAGCACAGCATGATGATGGTTGTGCCTTACTACCTTCTGAGGCTTGGAGGTAGGTAGAGGAAATGTAGTGAAAAGGTTGGGTTTGAAGTATGGATTATGTTCACACATACGTGTTACGCAGGTGATAAATCTCACGTGTGGAATTATATATGAATTGAATAAGCATTCTGTTGACTAACATTCTGTTGACATAATTGTTAGTATGAGATACATTCTAAATATTTTTGAACTGAAACCTTTTTTATATTAGGGTTGGTGTGGGTCCTCATTCTGGGCTTAGCTTCAGAAGCCCCAGTGTGGTGCACCTCTTGCACTCATTTAGCTATGCTCTTACTTCTGAAATATTACTGCAGCCTTATTAATAAGCTTTTAAACTTAGTTGCTGCAAAAGTTGTGTATTAATGTTTTACAATCTAAATAAACAATGTATAATAAATATGAAATTAAAATGTCATGAATACATAAAATAAACAAGAATACTACATAGGGCAGGGACCAGATATGGCTACATTAAAAGATATTGTCATAATTAAGCCACTTCAGTTTTCTTTCAGTTTTACTTAGGTTTTTCAGCAATTCACATTGAAAGTCCTTACATTTACTTTGTTTCTTAGGGGGGAAATTGTGTATGTTCCTTTATGTCACTGTTAGCTTAAATTGTGGGTACCCTATGTTCATATTCAAAGAAGAGTTTTGTGACAAACATTTCTTTGGTTTTAAAAAAGCATTAGGTTTTTCCATATTATTTGTATAATTGTTACCAGTATATCGAAAAATATGGCCAACTGATATTACTGCAATTACAACAGAGTCTATTCAATTGAGTTCACTTTTTCTGTGTAAATAGAAGGGAAAACTATCATACAAATAGAAATAATTAGAACACTTAGTCAATTGTCAATTAATTGTATAGTTTCAAACTTTTTATTTATATTACTTTGACTAAAACTTTGTATTTAAATAATAATTTGTTTCCTTTTTCAAATATAACACATGCATTTATTTTATAACTGTTCAAAAACACATGCTGCCATGCTATGTTTCATTAAAAATCTTGATGTTAAAAATCCATGGCATCTTGACTTGTTACAATACATATGCAATTATCTTGGAAAATATCTTTTTTGAAATTGGCCTGGACCTGTTGTTGCTAGTGGTCTTGGTGCTTCTCATGTATTATTCGACTGTGGCCATTGCTTGCCGTTGTTTCTCAATACTCTTCTCAGTGTTAGATACCAAATTTTGTGTAGTCCCAGCACATTTTTTTAAGTGTTAGATTGCCATTCTGTATCCTAGCAGTCAAATTATTTGGAGCAAAAAGAGGGGAAGAAGTGAATTAGATGCCGTTGTTCTGGTTTTACTTAAGAAGCAGCTGAGTCACCTTGTAACATATATTTACCAACATAAATAATTTGATTGTGAACAGTGACTAAAGATGAAGAGTAACTCTTGTGTTTTATGAGTATTACAAAACAATAATGCAACAAATAAATATAGCTTTGATTCACATGGTCATTAATGAGTACAATTTATCCATAATAAACCTTTGGCTGTTCATAATAAATCCTGTGGCCACCATGTAGCCCTAGGAAACAACTAAGTAAGTTTCCACTTATGACCATCTAAGAAAAATTAAATATTTTGACAGTTGTGTTCTGAATTATATTAGCATCTTAAAAAAAGACACAGAAATTATTATTTTTACATTCCCACTTACTATTATACAGTATAGAGAAACTCTGCTGCAATGAAAAATTCTGTCTTTTGAAAGAAAGTGCGAATTGTGGGTGCTAGTTTCCAAAAAAGTGGATTGTCCTTGCTCCTTTATGTAGAAAATTTTCTCTAGCTAGCTGTGTATTTAGAAAGACATGTTTTGAGGGTCATTGATGGTGAATATGTGGTTTTTGAAAACTAAATTTTTGTGCCTGTTCAGCAGTGCTAGGGAGTAAACCTAGATTTTGGAAGTAAAAAAAAATTTCATTGAATTCTCAGAATTTTCAAAATGTAAACAATTTTTGGAACCCCTTCTACAACTACATTTAATGAAGAGATTTAAAAAAAACGAACTGTTCTTAAATTGTAGATCTTTATTTAAAGTTGTGTACATTTATTTTTTCAAAGTGTCTAGTTGCATGATTTTGAGTGAAATGGTGACAATGAAATACATAAACAACATATGCTTGAAGTGTTTGGCTCAAATAATGTTGGTAAAAAATAATAGTCCCTTTATTGTTATGGCCTACTGAATTCAATTCTCACTGAAAGAATCTGGAATTTTGAAAATTACAGAAGTTTATTTTATTTTAATCATCTTCAATAATGAGGCAAGAGATTTTTTTAATGCAATTATTTTTCAATACAAAATCTTTTAATTATTTCATATAAACATTGCTGAAAATATTAGTAGTTTTTGTCTAATTTTGAGTCTCATGATGGCAAAATCTTTTTTTGAACATGTTCTACACCTGTAGAATTAAAATTAAAGATTTATTTTTTAAGGGAATGTACTTTTTAATATTAAAACTTTACTTCATTCTATGTACACATTTTTCAAAATACATTAGTTGTTGGAATTATGTTCTTTGCATATTTCGAGCAGGTGGATAAAGTACAATGGGCGAGTAGAATTGGAAGTACAATACAATAATATTACCTGTTGCTAATTAAACAAGAATATACTATGTGCTGTGTGTTGGCACAAGTAATTTCCTAGTGTAACTTTATACTAGAAATGATTTGTGTACATTAACTCTTAATACTAAATTTACTTTCTAATCAATCAGTGTATGAAATGAACAAGCAGTCTTAGCTGGAGACAAATGTGTCTGTAGGTGGGTTGCATGTTGCCATTGATGGAGAAAGTGAAGAAAACTTCGTAAAGTGGCCTTAAATGACACTTCACTTCTGCCCTATATGAAATTGGTATGTAATGATGAAAAACTCTTTAAGATCATGAGAATTTTTGCCTCCCTTTTGTTGCTACAAATCAATGGTCATTTAGAATGGAACGTTTCCTTGGCTTCACGTTTTTAGGTAGATCAAGGTTGTTTGAAAAGAAGATCATGACATGATAGCACTAGTTTTGTTTTAATGACTATCTTGCCTGCCAAATACAGGTAGTCATTTTTTTCTGTACTCTGTTTATTTCTTCACACTAACACATTCTGTAAAAAAGCGCTGTATTTCAACTGTGAAATAAACAATTTAAACATTTTTATTACTTTTTTGTTTGTAACACTGAAGATTGAAGAGAAAATTACAATAAAAATTGAAAGAAGTGATTTTCATATTTCGACTTAATAAATTCTTTAGGATGAAGGGTGAATTCTATAGGATGTTTTTGGGAATTGAGGTGATTTTGTGGTATTTTTACCTGCTCTGTTGTAACTTTTCTTTCAACATCAATCAACTTGTTCTTAGATTATATTAAAAGAAAAATTGTGCTTAATTTACTCAGATTATCTAATTGCAGTCTGTATTAAGTATTTGTTTCTATTTCTGTGGAAAGTAATGCAAATTTTTTGTTTTCCTCTAGGAGTATACAATGTTGAAAAACTGTCGGATTTCAGTTGGTGTGTCATGTCTTTTGGCTTGAATCTTGCGTATCACTTCGGTTTCCTTCAATTATTTGCTATTGTGAGTGAAATTTATTTTATTAAATCTTAGTGATAATTATTAAATGTGAAAATGTCTTGGCACATACTAAAGAAAAGTTTATAATATGTTTCTTGATATTTTGTTCAGCCTTCTCAAGTGAATCTCAACAATATGCTGTGTCCGGCTCCGTCCGATCCGTTTGCTGGCTCATACTACAGAGTGTTTGCTGTATTACACCAAGCTGCTCTCTGTCCTCTTACTTGCAAGTTGTACTGTTGGATATCAGCATTTTTTCTTACAAAGTTTGGACCTACACGGGTCAAGAGGGATCTAAGCTCTGATGTAACACTTTCATGCATGCAGAATGCAGAATTACCATCACCTCAAGTTCACTACCCTGAAGCTAACAACATATCCACAAAGGATGCTCATGTTCATAATGAATAATTACTGAATACTAACTGAACAATTTGGCAGATTTACTCACAGTATTGAAAACAATTTTTTAAATAGATTGAAGTGAAATTAAGTTTTGTCATTCCAAAGCATTCATTCCATTAGTACTGGGTACTGGGAGTTTACCATACAGTTGATACATTCTGTTGACTACTTGATCTAAAAAAAGTTAATGTACAAGTACAGTAATACTTATTAATCTATTTGCCATTCTCATTAACGCATTTTCACTGCAAAATTTTCACATTCTTTTGGTTAGATGGTTATGTCGACTTTTGTGCAAAACATAAAACAAAATGTTCAAAGTACTAGTAAAAATATAAATGGTTTTAGTCTGGTTTCTTTGAGAACAGTCAGTTGAAGAGATGTCTGTGATACGCAGAGGCCCTGTCGTTTTATAAATATTGAGGTATTATGAAGTTGCAAGTTAATTGTTCTGTTGCTTGAACTTAGTGTATAGTTGTTCTGCCCCAAAGGCTGCTTGCCTGAATATGTATATGGGGAATTTTGCTGTATATTAGAACATGAGTATTAGTACACTATTTTTACCATGTTGCTGCAAGGTCTTTATAAGTGCCCTTACTACCTTCTCTTGCACTTTGCAGGCAGCTTCACATTCAAAGTGTGACTCATACTGGCATACTTAGCTATTAGAATCTTCATTTGTATGTGATACACGATTGCCAAAATCGTTTAAAGCTTTTTAAGCTATTCTTATTTATTAACATTAGGAGATGAAGAGGCTTAATACTGTGGGCATCTGGAAACTATTGTTGAGGAGAATTACTATGAATTATGTTCTTGGAATCGCTGGAGTGCACATTGGTGCATCATTTTTATTCTGAAAACTACATATTGAATTATCACAGAACTCCAGTTTGTTATTTGCGATTTGAATGAAGCGGACCATTTGAAATATAATTTTTCTAATCCCACCAAAATGTAATAAAAGTAATACAAGACTTGAAATGTCATTATACGCCAATATCAGTCAGTTAATACAAAGGTTTATTACAATAGTATATATTCCAGTATTACTGTAGAATAGTGTTGAGTAGCAAACTAGAGGTGTATTGGTAATTTTATGGTAAAATGTTTACCATTATAACACATTCCATATTTGAGCCATTAATTGATTTGGCAAAAAAAGAATGTGAAGTGTGGTGAAATAAAGAACTAGTCATGATATTTTAAGTTGTAGTTTAAATGAAACAAGCACTCTTTAAAAGTAGATTGGGTTTTTTTTCTCTGCAGGATGTTTGGATTTTTATTATTTTACTAATACGAGACAACCTTGGGTTTTGTTTCCAAATTTGTATATCTTCCTTTGCAGTACCTTAATTTTTTGTGATAAATTATTGTAGGCCATTAAATGTTAGAATTGAAATGTTTTGAGTTCTAATATTATAGAAGAAGATTGCCATTGATATTGTAATATAGAATTATCACAAAATAGGTAGTTGTTAGAATTAATGGGAGTAGCATGTGTCTATATTTTGTTTTGTTTTGATTGATCAGCATTCGTCTTGTTTTTAAGTTTTATTAGTGTGATCGTTAAACTTGTATACAGCCTATATTGATTCTGCTGTTGTGTATGGTATTCAAAACATTTTACCTTTTGGGAGAGACTATATTCTTGTCAAAATGATTGTCATCCTTATAATTGTTGCTTGTTATGAGAAAACCGCACTCTGTGATAGTACACACTTATTTAAAGCAGTGCTAATGGTGTCCTGCTTATAAATATGGTGTGAAGGATAAGTTTAAGATCTGGGCTGTGAAAGGAAATGGTATGGATACTTGAGGATACTTGAGGATGGGATACCAGAAATTCAGAGACTAGCTTTAAATGGTACAATTTTCTATTTTTTTGCTTTTACTTTCATTTGATACTATTGTATACAATTATTTCTCGATAATTTGCTTGTAGAGATCCGTCTCAAGTTGCTTATTTGCTCTCTCCACTATTCAGAAAATTGTGTATTTGTTGAATTGCCCATTTAGTTTCCGAATATACAAATACAAAATATACAAATTGTTCCTTATAATTTAATTACTTAAATTTTCTAGTCGGAGAACAATTTTGCTTTTAATATTGAGCTGCTTTAGAGTAACAGCATATTTCATTTATTTCAGTATGATCTTATGGTTTGAATCTTTCAATTAGAAATACTTTTGTAATGTATTGATCTCATTTTTCTTGCTATATCATCACTGTGTTGTGTCTTCACTTTCAGCTGTTTACTGAGATGGCCTACATTGAGAATTGAGATACACATTACATATCACTGACAGTAGCAATACATGAAGTTTGTAAGATACCTCAAGAACAGCAAATGAAATTGAAACATTGTGACTAAATGATAATCTAAATATTCATGTATTAGAGTATTCAAAAGTCTATTAAAAAAGTCAGATATCTAAATACAATGGGGGTCAAGGAGATAAATTTGAAGTACAAAATTTCAAAAATATATTCAAAAAAGTTATTTTCGTGATTTTTCTCTGATTATTTTGTGCACTTTTGTATATTATAATGTGTTGATATCAGTTGCATTGGTCTGAAACCAGTTTCTCTTGTTCAGAGCGTTGATCTAATCTGATCTGATGGATACAGGATATTTGAATAGTGAACCATGTTGCAATTCTTTATGATCATTGCATGTCCTTCCAACTGAGAAGGAGACAATCACAGAAAGTATATAGCAGGATTATATTGATGTTTTATATATATTCAAAAGCAATAATTGTCAGATCTCTATAGGTTTTGCGTAGTGGTAGACCTTAGGAATATTTTACTAGAGGTGAAATAATGTGACGAATCGAAAGAACACATGATTTTATTACACTTTGTTGATCCGAGCCAGGCTGTCAGTACAGAAACAGTGGCAGTCACAGCACTTGTGCTGTAATTTAGAAAGTATTTGTTTTTGTTTCACTTCAGTAATGAAATAGCAAGTAACAGGGAAGGCAAGAACAGAAATGAAGTTTTAATTGATACCACTTAATTCGTTGATTTTTTAAAAAACGGTATTTGAAAGACATTTAAAGATCTTATTAACAAAATCTGGGAGATACGATTGCAAATGAATACATTATTCTGATGATTTGGGCCATTAAAATAACAGTAAATTAATAACTTAACAGTATTCATTTATAAAATAGAATAAATTACATTACTGTATGCAGTGGTTCCAAAAATGCTTACAAAATATCTGTTTTAGAAACAATGAACTGGTCATCTTAATTTCCTTTTTTTTTAAAAAAAAAAGAAAAGAAAATGGGCCTAATATTTATGGGTGCTTAGGAATTAACTTTGAATGTAATTCTTATATGCAGTTACTATAATCTTTTGTAGTATTTATTGAGATGTGTAAAATTTAACATATGTGAAGTTCGTATCTACTTCTTTGGAGTTTAGCTAGTCCAAAAGCTAGCAGTGTATTATAATTTTTATCCCATCAGTATTTTTCATTGGTAAATCCAGTAGGTAGTTTCCTGACCAACAGTTGTAAGTGATTTCTGTGTACTGTGTCCTGTTATAATTTTTTTAAAGAGATTTTTGCTTCCTTATAAAAATGTTACTTTATCTATTCAGAAAACATGATTTCTTTGTGAGAGCCAATGAGAGAATGTCAATATTTTCCAAAATGTAAAGCAGAAAGTTTGAGGTTCTCTGGCAATATTAACAATTATTGCATCTTTTAATACAGTGATAGATGAAATTGTGTGCAGCTTAGGAGATCCTACCTTCAGCACTAGTTTAGAATACTGAATTTAAAATGTGAAATGCTTCTCTCGAAGAAGGAGCTCATTTTGAACTCGTGAGAAGTTATTCTTGAAGAGAAGGCAGTATTTTATTTCTGTTGAAATAAATTGAAAAAGTTTTTAACACTATTAAACATATTATAATAGTGTTTCCTATTCAAGAGCAAATGCTGTTGCCCTCTTCTGTATTAAGAAATCACAATGCCTATTATTGTAGGCTACAGAACCTCTTCAAACATTTGCTCAAGTGAAGTGAAGTGAAGTGATGGGATTGTATGGTTGTTGTTACATAAGTGTGTAGCAATGCTGTAGGATGCAAAGCAGTGCAGTTTCAATATCAAAGGGTGCCTTTAGTGCATCTACACTCAAATGCATCAATTTTTCATCTCTCAAATTCACTGTTCCTTCTGATTTCTACTATTCAATACATTAAATATTTGACATCTTATCTCTTAAAATATTCACATCTTTCAAAGTTTTACCTCTAAAAACATAGATTCTGAGTAAACTAGTATTGATATTTGTTCAAAACCTGTTTTTCCTGTATAACTTAATAGTTGATAGCAAGTGATTTTGTAAACTTCCACATGTAGTTTTTCCTGCATTATGTAATGGAATAATATTATGAGGACCAGTTTAAAGTTGCTAAAACAGAAAATGCCTTCTTTGCGAGAATTTCAGATTAGCATCCCATTCCATAGTTTTGAAGTATAGCACCGTTCATTCTTGGACAATAAAAATCAAGGTACGACCTACAGAAGCCAAGCAATGGCAAAAGATTCACTGCTTATGGCATTTGCAAAACCCATGCCCTCCAGCATACGTATTTCTAGATTCTAAATATGTGGTAGAGTACAGTGGTGCTGTTTGTACCTCTGTGAACAAGTAGGGCCTGTTGTGCAGCACTATTGATATGTATGCATATTGCCCATTGGGCTGCCTCAATAAATACTGCTGATAAACAGATGTGTGTGTATTTTTTCCACTATTCCTGTTGTATTTTAAGTCTATTTAGTATTTTTATAATAGCATCTCATTATTCAAATGAAAGAGACCAACAAAAAAAAATAATAAATCTGTTTTAAGATGCAGAATCTCTTTTAAGATCTAATTTAATAAATCAGTTTTTAGATGTAGCTCATTTCATGTTTCATGGATGGATATCTCCAAAAGGCAAAAGAAAAAAAAATCATGCTTTGTTTTATTGAGCCTCTGATGAGAAAATGTAAATCTATAATACTGAATGGAAAGAAGACACTTGCAGATAATTGCATATCCTTATCTTGAATAATGGGCTAATGATGGTCTCTTGCTGGTGCCTTCAGTTTAATGTAAAAAATTTCAGTATTTGTGCAATATTGCGAGCAATATGTGCAATTTTTAAAATATTACAAAAAAGATTTTCTCAAAAACTGCTCCAAATTTTTTTCTTTAAATTTTTGGTAGGGATAGTGCTAAATGAACTCTAAGATGACAAAAACGCCATTTTTTTCTTATCAAAAATTACAAAAATGTAGTTTTTTGACTTCTCTCACATCATTAATACTTATATTAGTGGCAATTTGTTCAGATCATTGCATTTATGAGTACATGTTTTAAATTAACTGAAATGAAATTTCTCTAAAACCCAACAGTTTTCTGTGAAAACTAGCTCAAAATTTCGCATTTTCAGAAATGCTCAAATCCTATTTTCTCAAAAATGGCTCCAAACTTTTTCTTCAAAGTTTTCGAACGGATAGTTCTCATTGCACAGTTTAATATGACTTAAAGTTCATTTTGGGGTAGGTTTTTTCTTTTTCTTCTTTTTTTCCCCCCTTCAAATTGATACAAAAATGTAATTTTTTTTGAAAATCAGTTATAATTCACATTTCCAGCAAAATTTTCTGTGGAAAAGAGCTTCAAATTCGAATTTACATTAGCTCATAAACGCATTTTTCTTAAAAACTGCTGAAAGTTTTTCAAAGAAAATTGCAATTTTTGACGAAGTTTTACTGTTCTTTAATTTTCAGAAAATATTTCCTTTCTATTATTAGGAACAACGAAAAATTAAGACAATTTTTTAAAAAAAATGTATTTTGGGCTGTGATGGCAGCTGGCAAGTGTATGTGGCAAGTTCGTAGAGCTAGCAGAGACCTAAGGAAATAGAAAATTTGTTTTGTACGGAAAAGTCTGTGCCATTGTGTTGCACCTCTAGTTTTTAACAAAGCAAGCCTTCTGGGTCCCTTGTGATAAGAAACTACGATGTACCATTTGTCACTTGATCAAAAATATTGCACCCACTGTATATTCTACTGCGATCTTTGCGCCGGCCCGTTGCTCTGCCCGAAGGGCGCTACAAGGGTTCTCTCGGCTCTGCCCCAGCTCTTGACATCTTCGCCGTGAAACACAGCTGCGCACGCATCTACTTCATGGGAGTTGGTGGCGGGCAGAGGGAACCCGCAGCAGATAATGTTATTAACCCAGCTAGCTAGGAATTGATGGCCTTACTCCTGCCCCCCTTGCTCCAAAGCGAGGCCTCACCTGCCTCGTGATTGCAGTACTTGCCGCCAGAGCAGGTGAGAGCAAAGAAGGCGTCTCGCATTGGCTTACGAGCCAGTGCTACCACAATTCATTATTACATTAAATCTCTTTTTTTTTGTCAGTATAAATTGCTGTAGAGTTAGTCGAGAAGTTTATAATTTATATAATGATTATGGGGCATATATTTCTCTCGCTGTAGTGAGAGTGAACAAGAATGTTTCCAATACATTTTATTAATTATTATGAGCAAAGTTGTTCTGATGCACGTGATCAGAACACTAAATTCCGCGCATTTTCGCATACCGTACCCTTAAAAGAGTCAGTGTGCATGACAGGACTGTACGCGATGTGGTAAAAAATAAAAACCTACTGTCGAAATAGAATTATGTAGTAAAAAAAGATTCTCCACTTTAGCCTATTGAATCATCATTGCTTGAGAACATTTAACACATTCATTTTTCGAAAATGCAGTATTTTGCTAGTCATGAAAGAAGAATGGAGTTCTCTTTTCTGTGGTAATCACCGCAACGTTTTCAAGGAGCAGATTTCGTTTTTCTGAACTTAAGTTACTATTTACTTTTTCTCTCATGAACATTCATCTTGTGAGGGAGTGATGTTTTGCATGTTGAAATTGTTTATATAAAAAAAATATGTTTCACATTTGTGGTAAAGAATCGCCTGTTGCGCGACTACTTTGTATACGGCATGTGTTGAGGCTGCGAAATGTTGCTTAGATTGGGAGAGCATTTGCAGAAACAGCGATGAAAAGTTCTGTGCATCGCTTGTCTGTATTCTCGTCAGACGAGAAGATTCTGAAAATACGACACATAATTGTCAATATTAACAACTTGCCGTAAGAATCATTAAGTATTGAAGAAATTGTTATGATTACCTTTGGACAAAAATAAGAGTTTTCCTTACGAATTCTATTTATTATTCCTGCTGGTTTTTGCCGGGTTTCGAAGCGCTGGTTCACGGAGACTACATACCGTGCTATCAACGTACAAACCAACTTTTAATGCGTTCAACATACCTTCTCTATCAAATTCGTATTTCGTATCCGTATTCGTATTCGTATGCGTATTACATACCTTCTCTATCAAATTCCTACGAAACTGCTTGCAGCTCCAGATTCTCAAACAATGCGATCTCGTCGTGTTAACGCCTATGTGCCAACAGTAGGGGAGTGGGAAGCTGTTTGGTTGCTAGCAGCTGGGGTACAACGTTATCACCGCACGCCTGTGGTTTTGATTATAAGTACATAAATCCGCCCTGTTGTTATTACGGGGATTGTAGCGCAGACTTGGTTATGAGCGGAGTGCGATGCGCATTTGTTTACAAGCATCATGCCCACTACTAGTTGTAATCATTCTGCCAACTTAAGCGTAAGAAATATGAAACAGGAATGGATAGGGAGTTAATGAATATTCCACACAATGATATTAAATCTTAAATTGAATTATTTATTCGTGACCAGGATACAAATCCCCTATATCTTCTATAATATTATCCCTAAAATGATCTGTATTTAATCTTCTACAGTGTTGTCTCCAAAGATATTCGGCGAGACGCATCGCCATATCCTCGGGACGCTCTCCTCCGCGAGAGTCTTCTTCGCAAAGGCCGCCAACTTGATTCTATATTATTTGTGTGCACTCCTGTTACAGGGTTCACAAAATACAGGGAATGGTTCACGGCCTCGTGTATATAATTGTTCTGCTGTCACTGACTGTACCCTCTCCACAAGTCCGTGTAAATTGTGGTACCCGGTTTCACGTGCTTAACAATCAGTTGTAACAAAGTCGCTGCGTTCCTTTTATTATCTGGACACATAGCTAAATTTCCCGATTTTCCCTATCGACCATGCCTAGTATCCACATTCATTTCACCATACGGCCGCGATGGAATTTCTTGCGGCCGATCTTGCACTCGTCTACTTCTACAATATGTCCTATCTTGCTTTCTCGTTTGAAACGTTTGTATAAACTGTCCAGACACATCTCTAAATGCCTGGAACCATTCTACAATGGTAGAATCCACAATTGGAGCGTCATTGCCCAGCTCACATTCCCTTCGCGTTCTGTTGCTTGCCGTAACAAAGCAGTATAGCATTATTAGGATTTTCCACCATTTTCCTTTGACACCTTCGCGTTATGAAAAAAACGTGTACATTGTCGCAGCAGCCATGAACCTCCCGTTATTTAGATGGCCTTCCGTAGTTGGCACGAAAAGTAACCCAAAATATTGTTTGTTGGCCTCGCAGTAAGCAGTGTCGGGCATAAGAGACTGCTTCTGAGCAGGAACAAGTCCCTGGTCTCTCACTCGCCGAACTGCAGCTTCTTTGGTGGCTATAAAGTGCATTAACTTCATAAAAATGAATCGCTGCATTATGAAATTAATACAAAAACAACGAAAACTTCTAAAAAGGCCGAACACAGGGAAAGTAGGATCTGCAAACAATGATAGCAAGAAAGTATGTGAGTTGGATACCCTGCATTACGTCGCTGGTGTGACAGACAAATGAACGTCGCATAGCGCATAACCCAGTCTCCACTCGAATACATGTTATTATATATGAAAAGGGAAACGTGTCTCTATTTAATAAATATAATCAAGTATGACATAATAATTTTAATTGTCAGTAATGAGATAATCTCTCTTTCGTAGTGTAAGATTCCGATAGTAACTGAGGGACACGACTGTCGGTTTTCGAACTATCCGATAAATTTCACTCATCAACCAGTTTTGTGGTTATCATAAACTACGTGGTTTAGAATAACTTTTTTTTTTATCCTACATCAAAAATTCTAATCAGTTTTTGGATATCACGTATAGTTTAGGAGAAATAGTTGAAATTCATTGTTGAGTATAAGCAGTGGCGGCTGCAGTAGGGAGGCGCTAGGGACACTGCCTCCCCCCTCCCTACGGAGATCAGCATTTCTCCTCTTGCGCTGTCTAAAATAATCTCTGTGGGACTGTAGGGTTGTTTCCGAATCGAACGCATCTGTAGCTTTCAAACTCTCGCTTGTTCCGTAGAACGGTTTTCATTGGCTGCTGACACACTCCTCTGTGTCCTAAACGCAGTGTTGTTACGGAACGTACTGACCAGTACTGACATGAAAATAGCCGACAATGAGTGCTCAAATGGCAACGTAGTTTCGGCAAATGGTGTCTTATGACGGCCGCCGCCCAGTAGCCTAACAGGGGAGGTAGCAACCTATTGGCGTTATCTATTGATCGATTTTTAAATTTAAAATATTCATTTCGCTTGATTTACGTCCAGGCCAGTACTATCTGCTGATGTTTCACCTGCTCTCCTTTCACAAGCATTCAGTGCAGTAGTGTGCAATCGGCATGGTCGGCATCATCTTTCCGATAGACGATTGTCACGTAGACAAAACTACGTGAATGCTGTGTTCCGAACTTTGCCTCCATTTCGTGTAGTGCATTGAGATTGAGAATAGATTCCAATTCTGTAAAATGACTGAAAACAATGAATCTTGATTGTGATACAAGTCTGTGCATGAAGAGAATTGGACCACCTCGGCCTGATATGAAAATTTACAATCTGATAGAAATGGCAATCGTTGTTTTGTACGGAAGTTTCATAGGATAAATGACAATTTTTATTTTAGGGGTATTTAGTCTTGTGTTCTCTCTTTGTTGTAAAACGTTCCAACATATCAAGAAAATTTCCCCTACAAAAGGTTGATCGCGTTTCACAGTACTCTCTGTTCGTGAGCTAGCAAACCAAAATCTGGCTGAATGTGCTGTATATAAAAATCCGAGAGAACTTATAAACATTTTTAAGAAATACCATGTCGGAAGAGAGATTGAATGCACTTTATATGTTTTTTAATATCAAAGAGTTTTTGTTACGGACTCAGTTATTTTTAACGAATTGTAATGGATTTACAGAATCTAAAAACAGAAGACTCAA